CCCCCTCACCGGAGCCTTGCGCCCATCCTCCCAGTCCACACACTGGTGAAGGAGAGCCCGCCCCCCCGGCGGAGGAGCCCTGTGTCGATGCTTCCCGTCCACACTCTGTGCTTGGTGGTGCCGGGGTCGCACACGAGGAAACAAAAGTGCAAGCACAGCCATCCAATGGGACCTTGCCGGATCCAATATCCGGGCCAAGGGACAGTGGAATGGCACAGGCCTCGTCCTCGAGCGGATCAGCCCCTGAGCAGGTCCTTGATGATGCTGCACATCGTGGCCAGGCATCGCAACGTGCTCCGCGCGAGCATGGTCCACACTTGAATAACACTCCCGACTTCCTGTCGGAGTTGGATCCACCCGAAGACTTCAAGTTGCGTCTCAGCTTCAACGATCATCGCTTCAAAGCCGAGATCATGACAAAACAGTATGTGTCAAGTGAGGGGAAAAAGTCTTGCAGCAAAAGCTTTGCTAACGACAGATCAGACTGGAAGCAAGCACTGGCTCAAGTGCATCGCTGGGCGTGGACAGAGTGGGAGAAGGCCAAACCTGAAAGGCAACTGCCGCCTCATTGTCAGCCTGGCACTATCCCTGAGGCTGTCCTGGAACGCCTTGCCCCGATTATCGACGCAATGCCTCCGCCCACAAAGTATGCCAAGTAGCCTCTTCAGTTTTTTTTGGTGATAAACACATCACAGGGGAAAACATGTCAGCAGGTTGCAGATTTCTGTCAATGTCATGTATGCAAGTATCGTGTTCTTAGCTTCAAGTCTTCGGTCGATTCAAGAAGTCACAGGGAGTGAGTTCATCCAGCCGAGTCCAATGTGTGTGAATCTGCTCCTGCTGTCATAGCGGCAACATGTTCGATTCACAATTTTGGCTTCAGCTTGTGCGCAGTTGCTGTTCATTCTGTGATTGAGTCTTTACAGTTACGTTGCAATTACAGTTGCTGAATGCCTGAAGTGTGCAATTGAAGATGACATGACATGAATCATGAAGTCTCACCATAGTTATGCTGCAGATTGCTCGGGGAGAAAGCGATCAGCAAAAACAAGCCTTCCTGACATTGTGTCCTGTTAGTTTGTGGAATGTGCTTGATATGCCAGGCAAGCATTGAATCCATTTGTTGCTCAAGTTGGACCAGAGGTATGGTTTAAAGTTATGTGGGACAACAAATCAATGTATTGATGTCAGTGAATCACCAACATGTCCAATTTCCAGTGGCCGTGCCAGCATGTGCTGGGATCATCGCTGGTCTTCAGTGGTAGTGCTGGGCCTGTGAAGCCAGCACGCAAGAAATGCAAAAGGAAAAAGAATGCTGCAGAGTCATTTGAGTTGGGAGGTAGATCAGTGGAGCGCCCGTGTACTCTTCCTGCCTTGAATTTTACCGATACAGTTACAGGAACTGATGAAATTGATGATCGGTTTGACACTTGGGTAGAGGACGTCTTCGAGCAAACATCGCGATTGCAATGTTCGCATTTCCTTCCGTTTGCTTCCTTGTCTTTCTCCCCAAGGCCGGAGTCTGTTCAAAGTGTTATGGGTCACAGATTTTGTTATAATTTGAATTTTTCATTAATTAATGTAATACTACATAAACTTATCATCATCCTCAATTGATCTTGCTGGCCAGGTCCACAGAGCCTTGGTGTCACAGGCTCATGGTTGCAAGGATTTTGGTGCAAAATTTCTTGCGCTACGACCAGGACTTCAATGTGGGCAGAGTGGCCATGAAATGGCATGGGCTGATTGGATTGGCTTATCCCGCATTGAAGAACCGAACCATCGAGTGTCAGCTGATGTGCATCATTAGCCGTAGCTATGACAACAGAGCCAAGATTGAAGCAGCTTCAATCGATGTGGGACCCCATCAATGTGCGGGGTTGCTGCAATACATTGAATACTATGCAGGGAGCGCCAAACTTTCGAAGAAATTGATCGAATCCGGTCTCCGTGGGTGCAGCTTTGACATACTCTACAATGACGAACACAACATGTTGCTAGCGAAAGGGTTGCGTTTGTTTCTGGATGCAGCCACAGCGTGTGAGAAGAAGGCTTTGCATTGGTGGGGCACTCCGTGCTCTTCTTTTGTCATTATGTGCTCATTTCGTTCCCAACGTGCTGAAAGCAACGGCTGGGAAGGCGCATGGACTGAGCGGGACTTTGTATTGCAGGGAAATTGTCAGGCCCTTGTTTGCTCACTTGGGATTTTCCTGGGATGGGCATGTGAGTGCTGCCCTGTGGTGGAACAGCCCCTCAGCTCCTGTATGCCGCACCTCGAGTGTGTCAAAACAGTTCTATCCTTTTGTGGCTTCGAAAAGACTTGCACCTACATGGGTGCCTTTAACGGAAAGTCAGTGAAGCCCTTGCAACTGTGGCATTTGCCTGGGTTTCATTTTGAGAACCTGGCCAGGCCCAAACCAGATCATAATGCTTTCATTGGTCTGGTAAACCGAGGCGAAGACGGCCGTTTCACCGGTGTGCCAGCAGATGTACAGGCTAGTGGGGAATACACTTCGATGTTCGGGGAAGCAGTTGCGCAGATTGTCCGGAATCTATTGTGACGATCCGCTTCGTCAGCCAAAATACGTTTCATAGCTTACTGAGCTGCATGCTTTTTATTATTCAAGCCAATCTGCTGTGACTGGTTTTTGGGGTGTGAATGCTGTGACACAACAGCAACAGCAGGCCATGCAGCAACACAGGTAAAACAGTGCGATGACTGATGAGAAGGTTGCATAACAATTGAGACACAAGTCTGATTTGCTTGCAGCCTTATGTCGATGTGGCTGTCTCAGTGAACACACTTGGAGGAACAGAATTGATATGGCTCTTTCAGTGAATGAGTATGCGCCGGCAAATCAGGGCCTTGGACGTCGTTCTTGCCTTCTTTGCCCCACTTGAGGAGGATTCCTCAAGATTTCCTCAATTCGAATCGTCAACCTTGCCAAGCAATGCCATGCTGACTCAAGATTTCCTCAACCTTGCAGCAACCTGTTTAAGTTGACAGGTTGTTCTGAGCAGTGTGAGGAAACAATAGATGCCATCCACTGTGACCTTGCCCGATGTGCCCATGTCGGTGCAAGGGGTCAGTGGCATGGCACAAGTGAACACACTTGAGGAACAATTTCTTGTTGACAATTTGGGAGTCACACCTTTGCAGCTTCTGCCGGCTCTTGCACAGACGTCCTCAGCCTTGCGAAAACCTGTTGGTGTTGCCGGGCTCTCACCCGAAGAGCCATCAAGTTTCCTTGCTTGGGGACACAAAGGCCAGCCATCTAGTGTGACCTTGCCCGACGTGCCAATGTCGGTGCAAGGAGTCACTGGAATGGCACAGCTTCCGGTTGCTCTGTTCACACACCGGCTTGGACAGAAATAATACTACATTTTTTCATGGTTTTCTCAACAATTTTCAGTGTCTGCAAATCTCCAGTTACATTAATTCTGGACAAACCTACCGTGTCGTAACGTATCCAATAAGTCTTTGTTCAGGTTGACTTCTGATTTTGATAACTTTGGTTTTTGCCAAGCCCACTGATCCAGCCCCCGCGGATCCAACCCTACAAACGAGCATATTGAGAAATCCACTACTGTGGTACTGGATTAGACTCCTTAGATGACATGCCTTTCAGTTTCCACATATTGCAAAATTTACGCGATAAGACACGCTAGCCTCGGCTTGTAGCGCCATGCGAGACAGAAACCAAATCTCTCCCATGCCGTGGCCTTTATAAGGCGTCCGAAATTCCGCATGTTAAAATCAGAAACAGCATCGAAATCAAACATACATGCCTGGGAAAACCGTGCGGTCGCAATTCACAACCATTTGCTGAACACAATAAGAGAAGATATATTTTTCGCGGAGAGCCGCCGCAGTCAAATCGAAAATTACAATGTTTTTTTTATGATTCCTTATACTGCAGGCATATCGGGAATTTCCGCAGATTACACATGTCCGCTTCTATCTCATCGAACCGAACAGTAGAGTCAGTAGAGCCTGATGCAGTATATGCTGACCCATTCTCCGGGAAGGAGCGGCTATTCGCCGCTTGTTCTTTTTGTCTTCCTTTAGGGTTGTGTTTGGGGCTGCTAGCAGCAACGGACCTCGTATGTTTTTGATACTAGTACCTGAAACTTTGGAAGTTTGTGGCTAAACTTTCGAGCGTTCTGCTGTGCTACTCCCGCCTACAACAAAAAGCCCGCTGGACACGACAGCTTCTGGATCCTTCGATGTGGGTGAGGATGATGATACGTTTTTTGGAAGATACTGGTCATTGGTGTTGATGCTGGTGAATCTGATGAAGACAAAGACGAAGATGCACATAGTAGTTGTGATCGTGATACCACCATGGTTTTCATGTTGTCAAATGTGAGATTGAAGTTGATGGGAATGCACACTGATGAAGACAAAGATAACAAAGATGATGATGCTGATGATGATGACGACGACGAAGTGTGGTAGTTGCTACAATCTCATCCACAAGTTTGGGTAAAAGCGCACGAAGACGCATAAGTTGCGGCGTTTCTTCTTTTGCTGCGGCGTTTCTTCTTTTTGGGCTTCTCCTCGAAAAATCTTTCGGCGTTTCCCAATCGCTTGCGGCAGAAAAAAGCAAATGCGGCAAAAATAAACGCCGCAATGCATTGCGGCGAAAAGTTCTGCCGCAGGAGGTTCCAGGTATGCATGGGTGGTTGTCAAAATTAGGGGTCCCTTTTTGGGTGCCCTAAATAATAGGTGCCGTATTATAATAGGGACAACCACCCACATGTTTCAGGGGACTGTTGAAATCGACACCTAGTGAGACATTAATATTAACATAACCGGGGACCTGAACCCCGAACCCTACACCCCTGAATCCTAAAACCCCAAGGCCCAAAATCCTGGGATTTTCAAGCCCAAAACCCCAAACTCTTCAACCGAAACCCTTCGATGTTAGAAACGTTATAACCAATCCTGAAAAAGCCTGTAAAAGTCAGAGACCGTCGAGATCGTTCCCTTGCCTGAAATGCGCTGCCAGGATGACCTTGGACGGCGCGTGAAGCAACCATTTCCATGGCCGACGTACCTTTGGCAAAAAGGCCGTACGTTGTCTTTTGTTTTGGGATGGTTTTGGTGTGTGTGTATATATATATATATATATATATATGGTTGTCCGGGGCGCAACCATATATATATATGTATATACATACATACATACATACATATATAGTGGTTTGGGGGTCCAAACTCCTAAACCGTATTCAGAGCAATAGTTCCTAGGTTCGAGGGCTTACGGTCGACAAGGTCAGACCAGGGTTTTGGGCCGTTGTGAACACCCTAAGGGTCCATGTACTCATATAGTATATACACTGGCCTTAAAAGTACTCCCTATATAGGTATATTGGGCCCAAAGTGTATATTACATGGGTACATGGACCCTTAGGGACACTGAAGAACGGAGGGAATGGAGTATGTTGCTTAAATGTTAAATGGTCGTACTCGGGTCTTGAACTCCTGCACTATACTTAGTACGGCTACACTGTACTCAGCTGCTTAGCTGCCCTGGCAGATTCAGTTTGATGATGAACATGAGGATGATGACGATCATCATCATCATGCTGATGCTGATGATGGTAATGTTGAGGATGAGGAGGATGAGAACGAAAGCAATGTCGAGAATTTCGGAGACAGTAGACGGGGTTGGTGCTCGTGATGATAATGCATATTCCAGGGTAAGTGGTGTGTCAACGCGATTTTTGCCTGGATGCCTTAGTTACGATGGCATGCGTCACAGAAGTCACCGATATGGTACGCACGTGGGGAGAGTTGTGAGAATTCTACTCGTTCTACATTCTACTGGAAAGGATTATGTCGTGATGAGGAGTGCTGATGGAGCGTGGCAAAGGATGATGGCTGAACTTTGATGGACATGTGCGGACAGCGGACCGTGGCAGATTAACGAGAGAAGCAACGATGTGTCTGGACAACTGACCTCTCAGGACCATAGACATGCGTAGTTAGTGTTGTTGCGGCTGATGATACATACCACTTGTTGCCACTGCATGGTCAACTCTATCATCATCAGCATCATGATGTTGTAGTCAACCCTAGACCCCTAAGCCCTTGATGACGAGTAGTAAGGCTTACAGACACTCCTCTTGAGCATAGTGTGGGCCTGACCGTTCCAGCACGTTTGTGCCCTCAAACCTCAGCTTTCAACCCTTACTTGGAGGTTCATTAGGGGACTTATAACCCTACTTATAACTACCCCTGAACCTCCAAGTAACCCTCAGCCACATTAGCCCCAAAATTATGATGCCCTGACGTGCCACAGACTGGACTGCAACAGCTTTTCACGACATTGTTTGGATTTCTGCAACGTACTTGTCGCGCAATCCCAAAACCGAAGCTTAAACACGAATTCAGTTCACATCGAGTTTTCCCCAAATTCAATTTAAATGCCAAAATCCCAACCCCCCCCCCCTTCCACCAGAAAAGACCATATTCAGAAACACACCACAATTCCCTCGGAACCTCTCAACCCCAACCCCAACGACCAACCAAGCCGAGGTTCGACATTGCTGAAGTTGCTGTGGACGCCACACTCCCGGGGAGGGGGGACCTCTCGGGGAATAGCCTTTGCACCTGGTGTTTCGCGCTTGTAATTTGGCGACTTCAAGCAGTATTTCCGATTTCTCATTCTAGTGACTCGGGGTAAGTTCTTTCGCAATACCCATAGGCTCCATAGTAGTTCCTTTTTGGGATTACCTTCTAGGATTCCATATATGAGCCCCAAAAATGGAACTACTTTTCAGCCTCTAGGTCCCTAGGTAACACGCTATTTCAGCGGTTAGGGCGCGGGCTTTCGTGTTGTGCAAGGTTGGCCTTGTACCCATGGCCCTTCTGGCACCACTTGGAGGTTCATGGGTAGTTATAAGTAGGGTTCCTGTAAAGGGATCTATAGGATGATAGGGTTTAGGGTTTAGTTTAGGGGTAGTTAGAAGTAGGGTTGTAAGTAGGGTAACTATACTTATAACTTATAACCCATATTAGGGGACTTATGACCCTAATTACTTGCAACTTCCCCTGAACCTCCAAGCAGACTCTTTCGACTCTGCCCTTGAACCCAAAGGTTCCTAAGTACCTAATTATCATAGACTTCCTAAGAGAGTAACCTACATAACTACTATCCTAAAACCCAATACCTGATTATCAGCTCCTTTGGACCCTTAGGGTGAACTGTCCACCCACCTACGACTCCAAATCCTCAGCGCTCAGACGCGTCCATGAGCGGGATCAGAGAAGCTTCCTTGCAGCAGCTGCATAGAAAGCCAGCTCGCTGCCACAGTTAGAGTTCAGCCTTTCAGTGGTCGTATTTGCCGAGTTTCGCACGTACACCCTACACCACCCCGGCCCCAAAATTCTGAAGGGACCCTAACGACTACTACAGGGAGTCCCTGACATGGTCCTGAGTACCATACGGATCACCGGCTCGCCCAGACTGTCTATCTCCAGCTCCTCATTTGGACTACACAGCTCTTCATGCCCTTCGTTGTTCCTTGCCTATGACAGCGGCATGTGCATTTCAGGCTTTACAAATGGTGGGACTTGGCCCTAGGCTTTGGCATTCTGACGCTGTCCTTGCTTGTTGATGCTTAGCGGTTGGTCTTCGTGCTTCGCGTGACACAAGGCTATCAGGCATGAATCTCGGACTGAAAAAGCGGTCTAAGGAGAACAGTTTGGAGCGCAGGATTTCCGATCCCATAACCCTGTATGGGTCCATGGACCCAAGTCTTACCTACTTTAAACCCCAGAAGATTGGGATCCATATAAAGAGCCCTAGTAAAGTTAGTTTTTTTCTTAGTCAGGCCACGGTGTGGTCCATTTTGTAAGAATCTGCAAGGATCCCTGTCGTCCCTGGTTCGTTCAGGCAACCTGGAACCCCTATGAACCCGGAAGTCTCTCTGACAAAACTCTCGTCAAACCTATAAGGGAGTTTCCGAAAATTGGGGGGGGGTGCCTTATTTTGGGGGTTCCTATAATAAGGATCCTACTATTTAGGGCACTATATTAGGGTCCCCTATTTTCGGAAACTCCCATAAAAACCCCCGAGACACCAGATACCCGCACACCAGAAAGAACTGCAAGCAACCGTACACAGGTTGTGCTGACACCAGTGGTTCTGTGGCTGCACTTCCGATGGCTCTCTTTCCAGCTCCTCTGCAGCAGCGTCGGGACTACCTATCGTCTCCATTGTAGTTCCTTTTTGGGTTAGCCGGTTTTATGGCTAGGACCCTATACTACAAACCTGGTTATCCAAAAAACGGAACTACAATGGGGACTTTCGGTAGGGACCTTTGTTGAGGAAGGTAGGGTTCAGGGCCTACAGGGGTTTAGGGTGTAGGTGTTCAGTAGGATTCTAGGTTTTTTTTGGAGTTTGTTTAAATATTCCACGGTTTAGGGCTGAGGGTGGTTTAGGGCATGGGGTTTGGGGCTGAGTGTCTGGAGCTTGGAGTTATACGATTTGCGGGTCAAGGCCATGGACCCGTGAGCCCTTGGCCCTGCCCTGCAGCTCAGCAGTTGGTGCAGCTCCACCCGAGAATTTCACCGACAATTTTCTGACCTGAACTAGGGGTACACTATTGATTTAGATTTCGGAGTATAGGGCTCATAGTTCCTAAGTTTTTCAACACTTGTATCTGAATACAAAGGCTGTATGCCAGAAGCTCTGAACAAAAAAGGCTGGACACGAATTCCGCCAGCCCCCCAAAGCGTGGTACTCCGACGCCGACCCGCAACCAAAGCAACTCCTAAGCTTGGCCCCTCAGCCCTCAACCTCCGACCCCAAACCCTAAAGCTTTAACTCTATACACTCTAAACCTTAAACCTTACACTCTAAACCCTAAGCCCTGAACCGTAAACCCTGCACTCTAAACCCTCAACCCTAAACCCTACCTGTAGTCTCCAAGGTAGCTCCTTTTTCTGGTTTAACCAAGTTTATATTCTAGGGTCTTAACCATAGAATTGGTTAACCAACAGCAGGAACTACAATGGAGATTACAGGTAAACTCGATGCTGCTATGGTTAGGATCCGTTGTCTTAAAAAGTAGGCGCCCTAAAAAAGGGGTAGGGCATGAGTCTCTAGGTACACTCTAAACCCTCATTAGACCGTAGACGGCCTTAGAGCCCTAGAGCCTTAGACTTAAAGGCGAATCCAAGGCACCTGATCCCCGAAGCCTACCAGCGAGCCACGGTTTAGGGTTTGGGATTTGGGGTTTAGGGGTTTAGGGTTTAATGGTTTAGAGGTTTAGGGTTTAGGGTTTATATAGCACAGCCTTGACCCCGAAACTCAAAAAAGAAAGCACACCTGATGCCCAGAGGTTGAAACATCTCACGCCCAGAGCTTGGCATGATGCCTTTTGACCCGGGTGCTGATGTCGAGTTTCGAGCACTTTATATCCGGCGGCTTTTGCTTTCGAGTTTTGGGACTGTCAGCTTTAGACAAGATGATCCCTAAACCCTGAGCCCCTTGCCAGGACTACTAACTCTACTACTACTACTACGACGACTACTACTCCTGCTATTACGACGACTACTACGACTACTAACTCGGGAGTTCGAGGCCTTGGGGAATGTCGGGGTTCGGCCGCTTTGGTTCCTTGGGTGCCGGGTCCGAGTTTCTGGGTTTCTGGGATCGGCCCGAGGGTCTGGGGTTTGGGGGTTTAGGGTTTAGGGGTTCAGGGTTGGTTTAATGGTTTAGGGTTTCGGGTTTAGGGGGTTAGTTGCTTAGGACTTCAGGGTTTTCTTATTAAGGGGAGTCTTATTCGGCTACTCTGCCGCTATCGTAGAAGTTCAGGGATCAGGACAAGGCTATCAGGTTTCGAAGTGTTGGGCTTCGGATTCGGTGTCAGGGTTCATGGTCCTAGGGGCAGGGCTTTTAGTCGTAAGACGAACAGCGAAGGTACTTCGAACCTACCTGCAGAATTCCCGATCCTCCAAATGATCTCCGTCCATCTACTCGTATTGTTTGTCATCCGCTCCAAAAAGACTCATGCAGAGTTGTTGTTTCAATTTGTTCTCTGTTGTGCGGGGTCAACCACATCATTCAGTTCGGACATATTCACATGCATACACTCCTCCACACAAGTATGAACACAGTCCATCCATTCCCAGTCAGGCAGGCAGGCAGGCAGTCGGGCAGGCAGGTGGGCAGGCAGGTAGGCGGGCAGGCAGGCAGGCAGGCATACATTGCGGCATGTACATATTATCTGTACGTGGGTGTATCTGGGTGTATTTCTTTGCGTATCACTGGCTGTCTATATATATATATATACACACACATAGGTATATATATATATATACATACACATTCATCCATCCATCTATCGATCTGTCTATCTACATGTGTGTACACATACATATATATATATATATATATATATATGTGTGTGTGTACATACACATATCTTTACGGAACTGCATATATACGTAGATAGTATGCATCTGCTTGTCTATTTAGTACATGTACGTCTGGTTTGCATTGCAAAAGCCTGAGGGTCCCTATTTAGGTACTTTGGGGCCCACGTATATACTATTTGGGCACATGGACCTTTATACGCTAAACCACTATAGAACCGAGCCCTTTTGGTGTCCTTAAAATATCCCTGTTTGCGCACATGGACCCTTGGGGAAAGTTCTGTGTCAAATCCCTATAAGCCCTATAAACCTTAAAAACGCTTGACAAGAACCCAGAAAGTTCTGTGTCAAAACCCTAAACCCAAAACCCAGAACCTTTAAATCGCTTAGCAAGAACCCTCATTATACCCTAAACCCCTATAGAACCCTCATGGATCCCTTAAAGGAGCCCTTATGGTCAAATCCCTAAAAACCCTAAACCTCAAAATCGCTTGACAAGAGCCCACTCTTAAAGGAACCCTATTATAGAATCCTTACAGGAACCCTCGAAGGATCCCAAAATTGGCACATGGACCCTACCCACCCAGTGTTCGGTCCTGAAGCGGTGTGTCAAAGGTCTCGGCCGTTCGTCTCGGACTCCTCGCGACTTCGAGTCTCGCTCTCGGGGGACCCTTTTCAGACGGCTCCACTTGGAGGTTCAGGGGTAGTTATAAGTAGGGTTCCTTTAAAGGGATCTATGGGGTTATAGGGTTTAGGGATTAGGGATTAGGGATTCGGGTAGATATAAGTAAGGCTATAAGTAGGGTAACTATACTTATAACCCATATTGGGGACTTAAAACCCCTACTTATAAATACCCCTGAACCTCCAAGCAGGGGGCCCGAGCTATCCGAGAGTTTACCGCAAGCAGCAGAGTGTCTCCAGGCTTCTCCAAATTCTCAGTCGGAGCATGCAGGGCTTGCCTGAACCAGTCAGAACCCACCTTTTCAGGACATATTTTTGTCGAAAATAGGAAATGGTACCCCCCCCACACGCATGGAATATTGGGTTCAGTTTACCGGGATGTATGCATGCTTTCTTTTGGGTTCTCATTGCCTGCGTCTTCCGACCTTGGCTTTAACGGCGTTAAAAATTCCTGAGAAGAAGCGGACCAAGACTTGACCAAGCTGGGCTGCAACGGTATGGCAACAGTACGTTGAAACAGTTTTTTCCGAAAGCCTGCCGTGCCTTTGCCGAAAGCCTTGCTAGTGCCCAAACCCGTCTTCCTAGAACCCCCGAATCTCTCTACCTATGCTCCTTACAACTCCTAAACGCCCCCCACAGTTCCCAAAGCCCTACAACTCTAGGGTGGCCTGTGGTTGCAAGTTTGCGGGTTAAGGGTTTCAGGTTTGGGATCCGGCCATGCCCTTACGAAGGTGGCCTTGCAGCGGGTGCTCTGCTGTGGGGCGATGCTCTACTGCACGGGGGTCAGGGCCCGAGACAGGTCGTGGTTAGGGTTGTAAGTTGAGGGTTTTCGGCAATGGGGTGATACACTCTCAATTTTCAAGGGCAACTGGACACCTGTCTGTCTTATCATGTCTTGCTCTACATATGCTTCAGAAGAATTTAGCTTCCGCTGAAGTGCAAAGACACACGGCTGACACTCCATGAAGCCTTCCAAACTCCTTCCAGTGATGACGACCCTAGTAGTCAGAACTACCTAGGAGGGAGCCTAGCTAGGCGTCCCTGCGTTTGACAATTGCACGGCACTGAGCCAAGAATTCGCCACCCCGCAGCAACCAGCAGCATGCAAAGCCCCTGTCCAGAACTGCTCCCTAAACCCTAAACCCCTAAACCCTAAACCCTAGACCACAGACCCTGTGCTAAAAGCCCAACAGCCGGACAGCTAGGGGCCGATGAGACCACTATGGGCTCCCTTGCGGGGTTCTCTAAGGGTTCCTTCATGGTATCCTTTACAGGCTCCTGTAAGGGATGCGACTCTGGTTTGGATCAGCCCGTTCTCACAGACGGTGATCAAAGCAAGTCTAAAGTCATCGTCAGCTTCTCAGAATCAGTTTGTTCGGATTACGGTTCGGCAAATGTAGGGGCCTCAATAATTACCTGAACCATTTTGGTTGTTCCTTACTATATTGCTAGTATAATGGGCTTCAAAACCCTATTCTAATTATCATAGGCCCCTATATCTAGAGGCTCCAAAGTAGTTCCTTTTTGGGGTCCATATATAGAAACCAATAAGGTAATCTCAAAAACGAACTACTATGCAGCCTATGGGTATTAGACGGAACTCCCTAAGCCCAAAACCAAAAACCCTAAACCCTGAACCCTAAACCCTAAACCCTGAACCCTAAACCCTAAACCCTAGACCCTAAACCCTGAACCCTAAAGAAATCAAGCCAGCCCTGAACCCAGGGCAGCCCTAAACTCAAAACCCTGACCCCCTTCCAATTTCTGAAGCAAGCCCCAAGAGAACCCCGAACCCTATACGGAATATGTATGACATTATATTATATCATATCCTATGATATATATATATATATATATATAGTTATTTATTTATTTATTTATTTAGGGGCCGGAGTAATTACCAATGTGGTTCCTTGCGCTGCAATTATAAATTGCATTGAAATATCATACATCAACAATTTAAGCCCTACTCTAATGGTATAACAAACTCTCGGAACCCGAAACCCTAAACCCTAAACCCTAAACCCGAAACGCAGGTCTTGTTCTTCCTCATGTCTTCTTTTCCACACGAGCCCGGCTGTGGCCCCTTTGACTCGCATCAGACGCCAGGCTCGTGCGGGTTAAAGGCCTTCGGGTGTTGGTGTTTAGGGTTTAGGGTTTAGGGTGTTCATTGTTCTACTTGGAGGTTCAAGTTATAAGTAGGGTTATAAGTCCGCAAATATGGATTATAAGTATAGTTAACCTCCTTATAACCCTATACTGCCTATACTTATAACTACCCATGAACCTCCAAGTAGGGTTTATGGGTAGACTGGCTCTAGTTTGAGGCTTTGTTGGGGTTTGGGGATTCGGGCTTATTTGACAGCAAAACCATTTGGAGTTGATGGTTTCTTCCAAGGTGATCTGTCTTGCCTGCTACTCGCATGCCGCCGAACCGTGAGTCTCTCAAGACAGGCGCGTGCGCATGCCCTCGGCTTCCAAAGATAGCCTACCCTAAGGCCCCATAGTAGTTCTTTTTTGTGGTTCATATTTAGAATCCTATAAGGTTATCCCGAAAAGGAACTACTTTGGGGCCTATGGGTAAGCCCCCAAATCCCAAAACCTATGCTTTAGAGGAGTCCTGCAGCGAAGCTGCACAGTAAGCAGAAGTTCACTGAGCCATGGGAATCTGCGCGAGCGGCCTGCCAGGGGCACATCACTCTGAGCATGAGCAGCATGCTCCCATGTGGGTGGTCAAAGCCCTAAGGCGGCATTATAGATCCCTTGTAGATTTGTTTAGGGTAACTATACTTAGCTATAGCTTCTTGTAAGTATTTATCATCCCCATGCTCCCGCGTGGGTGGTGAAAGGTGCTTAGTCGCTAAGTTGTCATGCTTTGGTATCTTCGGGCCTAGCGAAAGAAAGCCTCTTTGAACCAGTACTCGTGCACTAAGGTCAAGGATGTTCTTGAGATGACAGGGACTTTTCCACCCCACCAGGTGTTGAAGGCTAAAGGCCTTCTGCTGAATTGGGGCCCGGAGATGTTGACGATCTTTGTTTCACACCAGTGGCTTGGTCTGAAGCACCCTGATCACTATGGGGTGCAGCTGGGAGTGCTACAGGGTATTTTGAGAAATCTCATGAGGAAGACGGTCAAAATAGAGGTGGATATCGCCTCGCAGTTCTGGGGAGGCGCGATTCAGGAGGAAGTTCTTGGCAAAATAGGCGAGGGCTATGTGTGGCTGGACTATTTCAGCGTCCCTCAGCTAGTGGAACATCCTGATGTACATGATCTGGCAGATGAGCAGCTACGCTACGTGCGGAGCATTCCCAGCTACGTGGACCTTTGCGACGTTTTCGTTTCTTTGGTGCCGCCGGCCGCTCACCATGACACTGGAGCTCCGTGTTCGCTCCACAGTTTCTGAAAGTTTCAACCTTGATTTCCCTGGGTTTTGAGCCAGTGAGGTATACAGCCGAATTGTTCGGAAGCCTAGTGACATGGTGAGAGTCAACAGTAACCAATCCACAACGCCCTTGGGCTATTGCGCCCTATTGGACAATGAGGGCCTGCTCGTTTTCCTGCTTCGTGCACGGGCAGACCCAGAAATCAAGAACAACAGAGGCCTTCGACCGATTGACATTGCCAGTTCTGAAAGAATCAGAGCAATTCTTCGAGATCCCATGCCACACATGTACCTGCAGGAGTATGATTTTGATATCGTGCAGGAAACCCTGTGACTGTCCCTTCTGGGTCGGTGTAGGATTTGGGCTTGCGGGTTCAGGTGTCGCTTCTCAGAGATGGAGCCACGCCTTTTGCATCCAGATGCCACCCCGAGCCATGCCGCGAGCGGAATCTTCTGCCGCCGGACTACTTTTTAAATCTTGCCTCGGATATTTACAAAAATTCATATCTCACTACATTGAACTACAGCAAGGCTTGACCAGGGTCACAAGCGGCTCATACCCGGTCAGTCCGCTTCAGCGTGTGCAAACCAAGTGGTGCTTGCCGACTCGGTAGTTTGCATTTCGTTGGGCACATTCCTGCAAGCAGCGATTCCCCAGCAGCTGTAGCAACGGTGGGAGTACTCACAGTAGCCCACGGAGGCTGTTGCCGTCCTGCTCCTACTCTTGCTCCTACTGCTGCTGCCGTTGCTGCTGCCAGTATTGCGAGATAATGCGCGGCTGGTGATAGTGGTGGTGGTCGTGATAGTAGTCTCATTTGTTGTGGTTATTGCTGTTGTTGTTGTTGTCGGCGGCAGTGGTGGTGGTGGTGGTGGTGGCGGCGGTGGTGGTGGGGGTGGTGCCGGCGCCGGTGCTGGTGTTCAAGTAATGGTATGGTCGGGGTCCAGACAGGCCTGCACGACGAAGCTCGGACCATCGACAATGTAGCATGCCAAGCTTTTCAGAGTCGAAGCTGTGTCGGGCGCTTGCGTCAGAGATGGCGTATAGCCATGTGCTTACTGCATCGTTAGACAGCCACGTGAACGCATCCTCGGTGCCGATGTTATTCCATGTTCTCGTGTTCCTAGATTCAAGCGCGCTCGTTTTTGGGACAGCGTGTTCATTGAGCTAGCGTCTAAAGTGGTACCCTGAAGACCCGCAGCCACTCACAGCCCTAAAGCGCATCTACTAGTAACTAGTACCGTTGTAATGGTTCGCTGGTGTGTCCTGCCAGGGCACATGATCTTTGACTTGGAGTTCGGCTTCCGGACTGATTGGGGGGGTATTGAAATGTTGCGAAAGGAAACTGTTTGCACCGACAGTGAACGGCTTCTAGGCCATAACTTACAGTAGGGGTAAACTGCAACACTAACAGTCCAGAAAACACGATTGATTATGTAGAACAGTCCGACCGCCATATTCGCTCAGACAGAGTAGTGCGTCAATTTCAATGAGAGCTAGGCTGTCCAAGACCCGTTCTGAATGTGAATGTCCTTAATGAGCAGATTGCTTCAAGGCACGACCTAGTAGTAGAGTAAGTAACCTTCGGGTAGTACAGGCCCCTTATAAACCCCATTTCACCGAAAAGCTTAACCTTTAGTTCCCCATGATACCCGACAAGTAGAACGAAGTAACACAAATGCAGATGTGCAAGCCCTTAAGCCTGGGTTTGGAGTACCATACTTGAATACTTTCTTTGGTACCTGTTCCATAAAGTTTTAAAGGAACCATTATGAAACAAAAGTCTATACTTGTTTTTTCCCTGGTTACTTCAAAGTCCAGTAAGCCTTGAGCTCTAAACCCGAAGCTCTCATCTTTGCGCCTCGGCCCGTCCGGCAGACAGACCAAAGCAGAAGAGAAGACCCAACCGTACACCACTGAAGATAAGCAGCCAATATGGGAGTTTCCGATAGTAGGGGTACTTTATTTTGGGTCCTTATAATGGGAAGCCTACTATTTAGGGTACTGTAATAGGGTCCCCTATTTTCGGAAACTCCCATATTATAGAGGCCCTAATAATTAGAATAGGGTTATGGGGCCCATTATACTATAATTAAATGAAGGAACCCCCAAAACCCTATTCTAATTATTGAGGCCCCAATATCCAAGGGTAAAAGGTGGGACCCTTAATAAGGACCCCTAGGTACATACCCTAATATAGCCATTATATACCCATTATATAGCCCATTATAGGGTAGGGGTCCCCATCAAGGGTCCCTCCTTTTCCGCTTTGACTTCAGCACCCTAAACCCTAAACCCTTTATAGAATCCTTATAGATCCCTTTAAGGAACCCTATATAAGGGTCCCCATGAAGGGTCCCTCCTTTTCCCCTTTGAGTTCTTGTTGGAGGACGCAGCTTGCAGAAATCATGTCATTCGTCACCAGGTGCGTGCTTTCTGTCGGCCTGGGTTTCAGGCTTCCCTAAACCCAAATTCCTAAACCCTGAAGGGCCTAGAGCTGGGTTTCAGGTTTATCTCCGAGGGCTGCGGGTTTTGGGGTTTAGGGTTTAGGGGTTTAGGGTTTAGGGGTTTAGGGTTTAGGGTTTCAAGTCTATCTCCGAGGGCTGCGGGCACTGAAACCCTAGCCAAGAGCCCGATCAACCCTGTGTCGCTTTGAGGGTTCGCAGTTAAGGGCCCTGGACCCATACACAAAAACCATTATGCGCTGAACTTTCCGTAAGGGTCCAAATACCGATAATAATCATCTACTTTCCAAGATAGTAACCTACATAGCTACTATGCTGAACACAAATACCCAATTATTGGGTGGGTTGAACCCTGGGGTTTGAGCGCCTCCAAAACTGACTCGCTTGACTCCTGAACCCTCAGACCTGAAGCCCCTCTACTTCTACATAGCCCATACCTAAGCCCTAAAGCACCAAACAGAAACACAGAAACCCTGAAGGATTGAGCTTCTTGTGATAGCAAGCACAGCACTAATGTTACAACACTGCCGGATTTATTCATAAAGTGCCAACAAAACAAGGATAATCATGGTAGTGCAACCACTAGATAAGAAGCAGAATACCAAGAAGATGCAAGAAGGGTGACCGCTCAACCATAAGTCCTATAAGCAAGAGAGCCAAAGCCCGAAACCCTGAACTCTACTGTTTAGCCTGGCTTGAACACTTAGTACTAGAGCTGTAGGATCCGATTCAGTCTATAAGGGTTCTTAACCAATCTGCGAAGGTTCGATTGGAGTTTGGGGTTCAGGGTGTGGGTTTCACTAGGGTCTGAATATCGTTGGTATCAATATGCACATGTAGTCCCTAAGCATGTTTATGGTACATGATAAACTGAAATCTTGTTTTGAATCATTCAGAACCCTGTATTACAGCTGGGGTTGAAGGTGTGCTTGGGGTTGAGGTTTCCGCCTCTGGGGGGTTCGGTTCAGGGTTGTTGGGGTTGGGAGTTTAGAGGTTTAGATCCTCTAGGGTTTGGGAGTTTGGGGTTTGTAGGGGAGTTTGGGGTTTGGGAGGTTGGGGATAGGAGTTTAGAGGTTTAGATCCTCCAGGGTTTGGGGTTTCTAGGGCGGAGCTTGGTTTCGAGCTTTGTCGTTGAACGGTGCTTACCCTAAGGCCCCATAGTAGTTCCTTTTTGGGGTTCATATATAGAATCCGATAAGGTAAACCTAAAAAGGAACTACTTTGGGGCCTATGGGTAACTTCATGAGCGGAGGATTCCCATCCTCGGAAGCACAGACACGAAACTGCCAAGCCCCAGAACCCCAACCCCTTCTACTATTCCTTTGGGTTCCGATCCCTGACTAGAATTCCGTTAATATTTGCCAACTTTACTATACCGAAGACCCTAGAGTTCCTCGATGATAATGAGTCCCCCACTCCTAGACTAACTCACAGGATTTGGATGATCATCCTCCTGGTCTTGGTGTTCATGGTCTTCATGCCCGGCTCACGGATCTTCAGGGTTCAAAACTTGGTGGGAGTTTCCGAGAAGTGGGGGTTCCTTATTTTGGGGTTCTTTAATCAGGACCCTACCAATTAGGGTACTATATTCGTGTCGGAAACCCCAAGTGGGAGTTGCGGATTAGGGTGTATCTGGGTTGAGGTCATGTTGGGATTCGTACTGTTTTGGTCAGGGTTGAGGTTTTTTTGTTGAGGGACTTGGGCGTGGTTTCAAGGGTTTCAGCACGGGGCAGATTGTGATTCGGAGGGATGTACCCAAAGGCCCAAAAGCAGTTCCTTTTTGGGGTTCGTATATAGAATCCTATAAGATAATCCCAAAAAGGAACTACTTTGGGGACTATGGGTAGGGCTGGAAGTTTAGGATGTAGACTTTTCTCATGCCTTGAAGTTCAAGGGCTTCTGCTAATTGCTCTTGGCGGTCGCTCCTGTTTCTACCAATGCTATTACCTCACATGGTGCTTATGTGGGAGTTTCCGAATATCGGGGGCCTCACAAAGTACCCGAAATAGTAGGATTCTTGTTATAAGGACCCCAAAATAAGGCCGCTAATTTTCAGAAGCTCCCATGTGTTGCGTCTTGGGGCCGTTTTGGGAGTAAGGCCTATCCTGTTTACAGAGCTTGCTGTGGGCCTTGGGCCCCTGCTCTGCTTGGCCCTCATGTTGTTTACTAGGGTTTAGGGTTTTGGGTTTTGGATTTAGGGTTTAGGGTTTAGGGTGCTTGCTGCGTGGTTTGGTCCTTCTGCTGTTTGCAGCGCTTGGTGTGTGATTTGCTAAACTTCAAACTTCCAGCCCTAAAAACTGAGCGGGCTCAGGATACGCGGTGTAAAGTCTGCGGTTGTATTTGGGAGTTTCAGCGAAATAGGGTTACCTTGTTTTGGGGTCCTTATAAGCCTTATAACAAGGATCCTGCTATTTACGGTACTATATTAGGGTCCCCTATGTTTGGAAACTCCCATGTCAATGTGATCACAACATCCTCCCTTGCGCTTGAGATGGAAATACCCGACAAACCCTTTCCCGGTATCAAGGTTACAGTTATCGCGTTGACAGCATCTCTTT